AATCTTCTCTGCTTAGACTGACACAATAATAATAATAATAATATAATAATAACACACAATATTCACAATGTTCACCTCACTTGGACACTGCATACCTGGCCAAGAAAACTCTCAATGAAGGATACACTTCCTCAGGACTCTGAAGTGGGCAAGAATTTCCCAAACCATTTTCACCACCTCTTACTGGCACTATTGAGTGTATTCTAAACAACTGCACCACTTCTTGGTATGGCAACATGACTGGCAAGAAGACACTGTAACATAAGCTATGAATTGCAAGAAGAGTCTTTGGGGTCTTACTGCCCTTCTTAGGGTCTTCTTTTAAGGAGAGGTACAAAAATGTCCCTAAATATTGTGAAAAATTCCTTTCACCTCACCTACAAGCTCTTTAACATATTATCATGTGGAAAACCATTGTAACAAAGTCATCCAAATGGATAACTTTATTTATTTGATTTATTCTAATCTAATTTGCAATCTTTATTTATCAGACCATGAGGTTGTTGAATCTGTTGCTGTACTAACACATCACTGGACAAGAGTAATGTAGTTTAGTTTCATGACAGAAAAATACCATACCATATTTTACCATATATCATTGCAAACATAACCATACTGTACCACACCATACCATACCATACAAAATCAAAACAAACATACCAAAGCATACCATACCAAACCATACCGTACCAACTCAAACCAAATTATACCATCCCATACCATACCAAATCAAAACAAACCATACAAATCCATACCATACTACGCCATACCACGCCATACCACACCAAAACAAACCATATGAAACCATACCATACCACACCATACTCAACAAAACCAAAACACACCATAACAAAGCAAACCATACCATATCATACCAAATAAAAAAAACATATGAAACAATATGAAACCATACTATACCGTGCCATACCACACCATACTATACCAAATAAAACAACCATACGAAACTATACCATACGATGCCATACCATACCATACCATACCATACTAAAACAAACCATACCATACCAAATCAAACTATACCATACCACACCAAATCAAAACAAACCATAGAAAACCATACCATACCATACCATACCATACCACACAAAACCAACCAAAACTAAAACAAACAATACGATAGCATAACACACCACACAGTACCAAACCATACCATACCACACCACACAGTACCAAACCAAATCATACCACACCACACATTACCAAATCAAACCATACTTTCCCATACCAAACCAAAACAAACCATACAAAACTATACCATACCATACCTTCCCATACCAAACCAAAACAAACCATACCAAATCTAACCGAACCATACCATACCATACCATACTGTACCAAACCAAACCATACTATACCACACCGTACCAAACCATACCACACCACACAGTACCAAACCAAATAATACCACACCACTCATTACCAAAACAAACCAAACATACCATACCATATCAAACCATATCTTACCATACAAAATCAAAACAAACCATATGCAACAATATCATACCATTCATTCAACCTTTATTTAGATAGGTTAATCCCATTGTGCCTCGAGGACTCATTTGCAAGAGAGACCTGAATATCGGGGCAGTGTGGCTGAGTGGTTAGAGCAGTCGTCCTCATATGTTAGAGTTGGGGGTTCGAATCCACCAGCAGTCACATGCCGAAGTGTCCATGGGCAAGACACTAAACCCCTCATCGCCTCCGATGTGTGTCTCATCAGTGTATGAATGTGATCTAAAGCTCTGATTAGTCTCTTTAGAATGATTTGTCCAATTAGCGTTGTAGAGATCTAGTAGAGTGCTGTATGAATGTATGTATATGTTCTAGAATTGCGCCGCTCAAGGTGGCTGTATGTTGGAGCAGCTCTGTTACTTTCATTCTGAGATTTTGCTTTTGGAAACTTTAATTCCTCTTTTTCTGGATGTAAACCACATTTTTTGGATGATTATTTCCTCTGGTATCAGATGCTGTGCAGCTGGAAGGATTTTTATTGAAACTTTTTTAGTTTTGGACATTTGTTATGATGCGTAACCATGGCAACAAGGCAGTTTTCTACAACCAACAACAGCTGATTAACATCTCAAAAGCTCAAATAATATCTCAACTACAGCCCCAAATCTCAAGTAAGTTGAAAAGGATGTTCTGTGGATGCATTCTCATCTACCTGCCAGTTGTGCTCGAGTGCCTGACCACTGAGATCCTGGAACTAGCAGGAAATACAGCTCACGACAGCGGAAGGACAGGATCATCCCTCGGCATCTACAGTTGGCTGTCCGCAGAGACGAGGAGCTCGGCAGACTGCTGGGAGGAGTGGTCATCACTCTGGGAGGAGTTCAGCCCAGCATTTGGGCGGTCCTACAGCCCGAGGGGAACCGAGAGGCCAGCCGAGTCTGGGTGGACGGATCAGACAGCATCTGCAGCCAGTTTCTTAGGATCCACTGGGGATGGACCTTTACAAGAGATCCTTCCTGTCTACAGCCATCAGTATCTATAACAGCTCTTAATGAAATGAGGATAACGAGTTACAACAAATAATTTCTCTCTGGGATTAATAAAGTATTTTTGAATTGAATTGAATTGAATGGGTAAATGAGGGCACAGATTGTAGTGTAAGGTTGTTTTCAAACCTGATAGTCCGGCAGACTCGGTTCGGTTGGGGACCAATATTCATAACATTTTGTTTACATTCGAGCTGGTGCGTTTGCATTCACACTGCACTGTGCAGTCGAGCCAACCTGTTTGAACCAACCTGTTCCCCCACTTGCCTGTTGTAGCGCTGCACCAAGAACTACTGAAAGAAACGACACAAAAACCTCTGAAGAAGACACTTCTTATTATTAATCTGGAAATAAAAACAAAAACGGAGTGGCATCAAATTTTAGCAGTTTTAGGAGTTATATTTTGTCATTTTTTTCAAAATGGACTCAGCATGAGTGGAAGATGAGGCAGAAGACCATGGAGAATGTTGTTTTTTCACACAAGGCAAGCTGATAGCTCCAT